GGAAGGGAGGTGTGAGGGAGAGAAGGTGACCCCGGGAAGGGAGGTGTGAGGGAGAGATGACCCCGAGAAGGGGCAAGAGGAGTCATCACTCACCCAGAGATGCCTCTGCGCTCTCCTCACTCTCGGGTACGTTCACATATTCGTCACCTGATTCCACTGTAGGAAAACCATCCAGAGACCCTCAAACAGATGCCCAGAGGCTCCCAAGCCAGCCACCAGACTCCAACAGAACCATCCGAGACTCCCAAGCACAGAGACACCAGACAGTCCCCACAGCCAGCCCCAGAGGGACACAGAAAGGGCCTCTCGGAGAAGAGGGACAGTGGCCTGGATGAGGGCTAGGGCCGTGGAGGCGAAGTAGGTCCCCTCGACCAATGCTGATGAGAATGAATGGGAGCAGGAAGGCTAGATGGCAGCAGGCCCGGCCCGACCCCCAGGCTGGGCCACAGAGAACAAAGGGCTGCCAGAGGGGAGGGAGGCTGGCAGTGTGTGGAGATGACATGCTCAGTTCTGGCTGTGCCAAGTCAGAGGGGCCAGCAGACCCAGCTAGCTCCCACTCACCAGCTCGGTTCCGATGCAACCTGCTCAGAGAGCCCACCCTAGCCCCACCTAGCCAGCCACCACCCATCCCATTCCCTGCCTCAGTCCCTTTGTAGCACTTATCACCACTGACTTATTTTATTCTTTTACCTGTTGACTTGTTTTCTCCATACGGACATAGACAAGACAGACTTTGAAGCCAGACTGCGCAGGTTCAAGTCCTGGCTCCAACACTAACTAATTAAGTAACTTTAGATAAGTTATCTAACCTCTCTGTGCTTTGTTTTTCTCACGTATGTAACAGAGCTAGTAAGAGGGTTATTATAAAGGTAAAGCAGTGAGTATCTGAGCACGGTCTGTCTCAGCGTATGTGCTGCCAAATCCTGCCATCATGCAGATAAGACAACTGAGCTGCAGGGTCAGGAGGGACGGGCTCAAGAGCTTCTGGGGGTTGTGAGGTTTAACAAAGCTGCCACTCGTAAAGTTCTTGCTGGGCATATAATAAACCAGTAACCGGTAACTCACTGCTATCAAGGCGATTCTGATCCATGGCAGCTCTGTGTATGTCAAGAGCAGAGCTGGCCTCCTGCTGTGACCTTTCGGAAACAGGTCACCCGACTTTTCTTCTAAGGCCCTCAGTCACTGTTAGCTGTTATTACACTGGAGTCTCCCTGACTGTTAACCGTTACACACCCAGTGGAGAAGCCAGCAAACCTCTGTTAGATGCAGGGACAGAAAGAAGCCCATGGACAGAGCCTGGAGCTCAGGAAGGAGGTGCACACTGGGGTGTGGTTGCGATAGTCCTAGGCAGGCAGAAAGAGAGAAGAGTTCACAGAAAACTGAGCATAGCTCCAGACACTGAGGAAAGCCTCCAACATGCAGGGTAAGACCCAAAGGAAGAGAGAAAAGCCGCTCGGAAGAAACTGAGACGATGCAGTAGACAGAAGACTTCCAAAAAAAAAGGACAACCTATAACTAACATGTTTAGAGCTTTGCAAGATAATATTGCCTCCATGAAACAAAAACAGGAGGCTATTTTAAAAAAAAAGAAAGAAAGACAAAGAGCAAGCTTTGGATAGGAGAAACAACATTTCAGTAGAAGGGTTGAAAGACTAATGCAAAAGAAGTCTTCCAAACAATGAATGAAACAAAAAGATAAAGAGATAGGAAAGAAAGAGAGGAAAGGTAAGAAAATCAGGAGATGAGAGTAGAAAGTCCAATATCCGAAGGATAGGGATTCTAGAAAGAGAGGAAAGAAAAACCAAGGGGCAGAGAGGCAGAGGTAGACATCACAGGAGAGGAAAACAGGGGGGCCCAGCCACACCACAGCAGTGCCGGACACGGAGCAACAGTCAGGACGCCAACTCACTGGAGAAAGCACTATCTCGGAGGCCGGATTTGCTGGGCGCAGGGGCTGATGGGACAGCAGTGCTACTGGCTGGGGAGCTGTCGGGGAGCACCACCCTGAAGGTAATGAAAACAGCAGGTGAGTGAGGACACCCCAGCCTCAGCCCCCACTTCCCACCTGACCACTCACAGGTAGCGGCCATTGTGATAGTCTTCCTCATCCTCGTCTCCATCCGTGTCCTCACAGGCTGGCTCTGGGGGTGACACAGCGGTCAGCACAGACCAGGCCAGGTCCCGACCTCCCCACCCAACCAGGGTACCTGGGGTCCAAGACGTACCCTGATTCTCATAGCTTGCTACACTGTTGGCTTCAGAGAGAGACAGAGAGACTGAGTCAGCTCAGGTGAGGCCTGTCCTCTGCCCAGTCCCAGCCTCCAAGTTCCTCTTCACACTTACCACCATCTGAGTCCTGCTGAGAAGGTGGGATCCGATGGGAGCTCCCAGGGGGCTGTGGGGATCTCCTAGGAGTCAAAGGTCAGAGGTCATGCCTGGAAGGGGATCTGGTGGCAATGGGATTTGCAACAGGACAGAAGGCCTCCAATTCAGGTAGGTGAGAGGGCAGAGAATAGGATTGGGGATGGGGGAAGAGTTGAGGGTCTACTCACGGGATGGGGAGCAGGTCCGGCTGGCTCAGGGGTGGGTGGCAAGCAACAGGCGGGTAGGAAGTAGCAGGTGGGCAGTGAGCGACCGTGTCTGAGGACAGGACCAAGCTGAAGGAATGACTGTGGACATCATTCCCCTTCCCTCACCCAGGCCTGGAAGAGTCGACTAAGCTCCCAGAAGGCCCTGTGCCCAGACAGGCTTGAGGGCTCCTGTCTTCCTCCCCACTGCCAGCCCAGACCCAGGTGGGCAGCCCCAGAGGGGACCTCCACAAAGGCATATGCTCGTTCACATGCAGGGGCCCTTGTCCCTCCACCCAAGGGCAGGGGCCCTCCGTGTACTCACAAGGCCGCTTGATCAGTATGTTACTTGGGTACAAACTGGCAGAAGAGACACAGCTTGGGAATGGGGCCGGAGGAGCCCCTGCCCAGCCCACCATGGGGCAGTGAGGGGGACTCACAGGGCAGGTAAGGGGCAGACTTACCCATCTGAGGAAGCACTGTCATATGAACCTGAGGAAGACAGGGCTGATAAGGCAGGAAACGGGAGTGCTGAGGGAGTACTAGAGAAGGCTAGAGTTTGGGGGCTTTGGTTTCTGGGTGGCAGGACAGAGTTGGGGTGGGGGAGTAGGGTGAGAATCCCTATGTATGTGTGTAGGCATCCAGTCCCCCTGCCAGCTCCTCACTCACCTGGCATCTCACGGCAACGCGCACACAGTACCGTCAGCAACACGGCCAACAGGGGCATTAGCAGGAGCCCCAGCACGGTGGAGACCAGGACAGCTGCCTCCATCTGTGGACAGAGGTTGGACCAGACCTGGTTGCTCCCTGAAAGCCCCCAAGGGCAGAGCTGCAGCAGGGCCGAGACTGGGCCCAGCAGAATTCCCGGCTGGAGAGCCGGCCGGGGGCAGCTGTGCCCTCCTGGACCTCCCTCCCCTTGCAGGGCTTCGTGGGGGTCAGCACTGGTTGTGGAAGACCCTTGGCTCCAGGGCTGTCAGGCCAGAGCCTGGGTTGGGGTCTGGAGCCCCAGCCACCCCCTGCATGGTGCCTGCACCCCAGCCATACCTGTGCCTCAGCTCCGCGTCCTCCCCTCGGGGGCGCCTGCCTGCCCGCCCGCCTGTGGCAGGAAGCTGTGGTGAGCACTGGGGAGGGCAGGAAATCATCGGGCTCCTCAGCCGGCTGCACCCACCCCTTCCCACCCCCACTCAGTAGTGGGGAGCAGGGAGGAGGCCTTCAAGAAGGCTCTGCCAGCCCCCAGGGCAGGCAGCACAGGCCACTGATGAGGAAGGACCCCGGCTGAGCAACCAGCAGTCTGGCCCCCACATTCGTGGGCTGGGGGAGGCAGCAGGGAAAGGCCTCGGACACTGGGAATTTTGAGGTACAGAGGGCAACGTCCACCCCTAGCTCATCCGGGACTGCCCGTCAGAGGGGCGGGATCTGGAGGTTAACTTGGGCGTGACTCACGGTCACACTGAGCCAGCTCACTCAGAGAGCAGTCCCCTCTCTTTCACCCAGAGGAGGGTAGGGACTTCCAACCATCCCAGGAGCCCGGGGCTGGGGAAGAGGCAGCCCTGCAGGCCAGAGGTCAGAGGTCACTAGCACCCAAAGAAAGATTCAAGCAGCCACCTGGAGTCTGGCTACAAATTTTATTCAGTTACAAATAGCACCGAGCCCCTGGGCTGCCCCCATGGAGGGGGTCCCCCCAGGTCCCCACCTTCCCCCAGCTCCCAAGGCTGTCTGTGTAGTGTCTGGAAGCTGGAACTGGCCAGGGTCCCTCCTAGGAGCTGGGCCAGGTGGAGGGGGACGCTGGGGTGTGGGCCTGGGTCCCTTCAAACGGGAGGCTGGAATCTGGCCTGGGCCCCTTCGAGGGGAAGGCCAAGCCAGATGGAGGGTCTGGGCCCAGGCCCCTCTGAGGGGGAGGCTAGGCCAGGTGTGGCAGATGTGCAAAAGGTGAGCAATGTCCCTTCAGATGAGCACGCTGGACACGGGGACCCGGGTGGAGCGGCCTCGCTGAGGCACCACAATACGGTCATCTGTGGGCCCTGCCTCCCGCAACACACCTGTGGGGAGAGGAGCATTAGAACCAAGGTGGGATGGACAGTCAGAGAGACAAACAAGTAACGCAAAATGGGTGGGCTGGTGGCTGGAGAGCTGCCAGAGTATGGACATAAATGGAACATCAGTTTGCTGGACAGACAGATGCAAAGCTGAATGAGAAAGATGCCAGGTACACGGACTGGGCAGGTGGATGGACAGACAGACAGGGAGTGTCATGAAGTCAGGCAGGGAGCTGTGGGCAGACAGAGGGAGGCCCCAACTAACCCTGTATGTGTAGCTGGGCCTGCCGGCGGTCGCCCTCAATGAAGATGGCGGTGCCCAGGAAGGCCGCACCACCCAAGGCCCCAATGAAGGCACAGAGCATGAGCGAGAACTGCAGGGCCCGGAACTCGGACAGGAAGGAGGGGGGCCAGCTCCGGCGGAGGCGGTCAGAGATCTAGAGAGAGGACGGGCGCCACTGGAGGGGAGGAATGCCGGCAGAGACCCAGTGGGGAGGCGGGAGAGAGAGCCCCTGAACTCTGAAAAGGAAAACAGAGCCTGGAAAAGGGCAGGAGGTCTGCAGCACCCAGGCGAGGCCACGGCCTCACTGGTGGAGATCTCCGAAGACAAGACCCTTTCAGTCCAGCTGAGGCTCCAAGGTGAGGACCACTGGTCTAAGTAAGGGACACGGAGCCTAATTGGGCCTGGTCTTGGGAGTGCAGGGCCCTCTGACCCCTGCAGACGTAGCCAAGGGGCAATGCTCACCAGGCCGATGAGGTAGGGGCTCCCGGCATCCCCCAGCAGGTGGGACAGCACAATCTGAAAGGCCTCTGCGGTGGACCGCCGCGTGGGGATCACCACGTACTGGGGGCGGGAGGAGAGGGGCTCAGTGGGAGGAGGCAGAGGAAGAGGACGGGGCCAGAGCTCGGGGAGGCCAGAGGCAGAGGTGAACCCTAGCTCAGAGATGAGACGGGATGCAGTCACAGGTCAGGCCCAGAATCACAGGGCCATCAGGGATGGACTCCAGGGTTGGTCTGTGATGGGTTTTGATGGGGTGCACCCATCAGCCTCTGGAATAACCGTGGAGCTGCCTAGCCACTCACCAGCAGAATGTCAGCCACGATGGCCCAGTTCATGGACAGCAGGGTCTCCCCAATAAAGATGAAAATCTGAGGGGAGGGAAGAATCTCATTATCCTATGAGCCAACGGAGGGATTACCAGGCAGCAGGCTCATCTGTTAACTCACTTCTTCCTCACAACACCACTGGGAGATAGATGCTACCACTGTTCCCATTTTACAGATGAGAACACTGAGCAGAGAGAGGTTAAGTCATTTGGCCAATGTCACACAGCTGGGGAGGGGCAGAGCTGAGATTCAAAGCCAGGCATTCCCGCTCCAGAGTCTGCTCTTAACCACTAGACTGGCTGACTCTTGGTCTGCACCCTGAACCCAGAAAACCTCCTTGATACCCACTGGCTACTCACATAAGTGGCCACGATGCTACCACGGGCACAGGCGAGGGACAGGAAGAGGAAGGGTGCGGAGCCCAGGAGTCCAGCAGCGCAGACCAGTGGGTCCGCCCGGGGGTTGGCGCGGCGGAGGCGACGGCTGATCTCCACGCCGAGGCCCACACCCAGGACACCGGTCAGGCAGGTGATAAGCCCAAAGATGAGGCTGGGGGGCAGGGCAGGGACATGGAGGCCTGTTTCTCTGCCTGTGAAGGCCCCCAGCCTTGCACCCAAGGCCTGGAGAAGAAGATGGTCCATCCCAGCCACCCCCACAACTCCCACCCATGCAGGCCCAGTGCCCCAAGGTTCACAAAGCCCCAAGAGGCCGGAGTATCTCACATCCTCAGCCATTTCACAGACCAGGAAACTAAGACCTGGGGAGAGGAAGTAGCTGTGGAGCCAAGATTCAACTCTCCTCCTCCTGAGTTTGAACACAGCCTCTCTTCCCTCCACCTCTGCCACCTACAGGCCCCCAGCCCAGCCCCATCTACGTACCTGTCAGAGGAAGAACAGGAGTCTCCAGGAAGGCAGGGGGGGGTCTCCCCCAGGACCACACGGGAACGCAGCAGAAATGCAGGAGCCCACAGAGCCAGAGAGCCAGTGACAAAGGCCACAGAGGTGAAGCCAAGGGATGACAGGACGAAACTAGGACTGCACACAGGAGGGCGGGAGGTCAGATTCCACCAAGGGTCAGGGTAGAGGATCTGTTTTCCCTTTTGAGAACGATTTGGTAAGGTCAGGACACTAGCTGGGGAGGCTCCTGTCCTACCCTGGCTCCTGGGCCTGTAATTCAAGCATCTGCCACAAGGGGGCAGTGCGGGCAGAATCATGGCCTTGCAGAATGGTTGGCCAACAGAGAAGAGAATGAAGATCATGCCCATTCACACCTCAAGTCAGGTGTTCAAGGCCACCCTCAGTGCCTCAGTTGTTGGACTAAAATGGGGTTAAACTCACTTTCTTGACAGAGCCCTCAGATCTGCCCACCATGAGGTGGGGCTCAGGGGAGGTGAGTCCAAGTGGCGTTCCACAGCTCCCCTTGGCGGTTCTCGAACTACCAGAAACAGCAGCAGGACAGCCAGCACTCCTAGACCTGGGGTCACCTGGGGAGAAAGTAGGCTTCATGATAGGCCGTGGCAGTTGTTGTTGTTGTTGTCATGTGCCATCAAGTCAGACCCGACTCATAGTGACCCCTCCTTGGGTTTCCAAGGCCGTATCACTACAGAAATAGATTGCCCAACCTTCCTTCCGAGGAGTGGCTGGTGGTTTGAACTGCCAACCTTCTGGGTAGCGGTCAAGTGCCTTAGGCACTATGCTACCAGAGCTCCTTAGGGCCGTGGCAGAGGCACACTCAAATGCTGGGACTGGGCAAAGAAGGGGCCGTGTAAGCAACTAGGGCTCCAAGGAAACTGAACCTGCAATCAGGGGTAGGGAGCTGCCACCAGCTACCACCATTTTTGCACGCCTAACTTTGGTTCCCTCTCTGCTAACAGCATTCTAATTTTCTTTGGCCATCCTCCACTTCTCTCAAGCCATGTGATTCAAACAGTAACCCAGGCGTGGCCAATGAGAGCAGTGTGACTGGCTCCCACAGTAGCAGACATGCGACCCATGCTGATCTAACCAGGTACCATCCCAGGACAAGTGCCCAAGATGCCAGGGTGCCAGCGTTTCTAAACAGAAAGGCGTTAGCTTGGAGTTTTCACTTGCTTGAGGATGAAGCTAACATAGGACAGGAAAGCTGAAAACGAGACGACTGAAGTTCTGTGACGCTGGGAGCCCCAGAACCAGCGCTATGTGCAGTCAACCCTGGGACTTTGCATTCTAAGCACCAATACAGTCCCTTCTTTGGGCTTACAGTTTTACAAGGGGTTTCTGTCACCTGCAACCAAGAGCTGTGTCTTGCCCATGGCTCTCACAGTGAGGACAGCCAGGCTCTGCTGCCCCACAAGGGAGTATGTGAAGACAGGAAAGGGGGTCAGCGAGAATGGGGAAGGACCCCTCCCTCCCCAGGCAACAACCAGACTCACCCTCAGAGCCCAGTGCCAGTCTCCAGCCACATCCTTCACTTTGGAGCCTGCAATGTAGCCCAGGCCACTGGGGGCAGGGGTGTGACAGAGGAGAGGGGAAAAGGGGACAGCCAGTCAGCCACCCCTCCTACCCCAGGCCCTCTGCCCGCTCCCCCCCAGGCCCAAGGCTCACCTGCCGACAGGGATAGCGAAGTAGAACACACTAAGCATCCGACTCCGCTGGTCTGCCACGAAGAGGTCAGCGATGAGCGTGGGGGCAATGGTGGAGTAACTGGCCTCCCCGACCCCCACAAGGCCCCGGGTCAGGAGGAGCAGCCAGAAACGCTGGGGAAGGAGATGGGGCCAGGTAGCAGCCCGCCCTGGAGCCAGCCTCCCAGCCTACCTCACCAGCTGGCTCTGGAGAGGCGGCAGGGGTGGCGGGAGAGGCCTGGCTTTAGAATCAGACAGACCTGGACTTGAATCCTGGCTCCACCACTTACTAGCTGTGACTCTGGGAAAGTAACTTAACCTCTCTGAGCTCAGTTTCCTCATCTGCAAAAGTGGAATAACAACACTTTGCTCACATAGCTGTCGGGAGGACTGGAAAATAAAAGGTTTGTTTATTATTACTTTGTACCCAAAAAGCAAAACCAAGCCCACCACCATTGGGTTGATTCTGACTCATAACAACCTCCGCTGGGTTTCCAAGGCTATAAATCTTCACGGAAGTAGACTGCCTCATCTTTCTCCCATGGAGCAGCTGGTGGGTTTGAACTGCCAACCTTGTAGTTAGCAGCCAATTGTCTTACACACTATGCTACCAGAGCTCCTTACTTTGCACCTAATATGTGCAAGATATATATTACTTTCTAGTATCCCAACCCATCCAAGACACCCCAACAGTGAATTAAGATCTTAAGCAGGGGCTCAGCTGTCCATCAAAGACACCTGGAGTAAAGACAGCATGTGACCACCCAAGGGAAGTATGCAGTCCCCAGGGCTGAAGACAGACTTCCAGTGCAGGGAGTGAGAACAGATGGAGAAGACGTCAAAGGAGCAAAGAAACGACAGCCAAGGAAGCAGGAAGAGTGTGTGGGGTCACAGAAGTTAGAAAAAGAGAGTTTCAAGAAGGAAGGGGTGGGCTGATAGAGTCAGAGGCTCCCAGGAGACCAAGTGAGAACAGGGCTAGAAGTAGGAACTGCATTTAGCAACCAGAAGGTCACTGCTGACTTTGGCAAGAGCAGTTTCAATGGAGTTCTGGAGGCAGAAGTCGGATGGCAGGGCAGCTGCTCCTTCACCCAGTCTGATGCTCATCACCAGGAAGGAAGAGGAAGGAAGAGGAAGGGAGGGAGGGAGAAAGGGAGGGAGGGAGGGAGGGAGGGAGGATGGCCCAGGTGAGGTTCTCCCCATAGTAAGAAACGTGAGAGGTTTCAGGTGTGGGGTGGAACAAGTCAATGGTCAGAGGGAGAGGGAATAACAAAAAAAGAAAGTTCTGGAAGAAAAGGAGAGAGGATGGGGTGAGCAGAGTAACTCAGGCAAGGAAGGGGGCTAACACGGCATAGACTAAGGAAACCATAGAAGTTCCCTAGAGCCAGACTCCAAGATGTAACAGCAAAGAGTGATGGCAGAGCTGGGGAGAGGGGAGGTGGCAGAAGCAGGGGCCAGCACAGGGCCTCACCTCTCTGGGAATGAAGGAGGATCCCAGCGTCACCAGGGACCAGAAGGCAATGCCCCCGCACATGAGATACTTCCGATTATACCTGTCACCCAGGTAGCCAAACACAGGTGCCAACACCATGTAACTGGAGATGAACACTGCAGGGAAGCAGACAGTCAAAGCCCAGCCCCAGCACCCCCGCCCCGTCCCCCCAGCTCAGGGAGCACAATGAGGGCCAGGAAGGACCAAAGAATAAGAGCGCCTCACCCTGCCTCCCACCAGCAGTTCACATCACTCCCCCGTCCCGGCCCTGAAACTCCTCAGAGCTTCCTGCCAAGGAGATCAAGTCAAAGCTTCGACATCTTTCCAAACTTTCCATTGTAGGATGGATACCCAACCAAGAACAAAATCCAACTCTGGACCATGGTTCACAATGCCCCATCTCATCTAGCCCCTACCTACCTCTCCAACCTCACACCTGGCCATCCATTTTTCCTCTTTCCATCTCACTAAAAGCACCCCAATGCCCTTCATTCTATTCCTAGACTCCCCAGGCTCAATACCATCTTAGGGCTCTTGACACCTGCTGTCCCCTCCATCTGCATTCTTCTCTCCCTTCCTCTAAGTTTCACAGGGCTTAGTTCATTCAGGCTCCAGCTCAGCTACCTGCCCAAATCACCCAGCCCCCCCACTACATTTACTCTTTTCTATCATACAGCACTTACAATCCCTACTGAGAACTATCTCATTTATGAGTTTAAATTTCTAACACCAGCCCTCCCACACACAATGGAATCTCAGCTCCATGAAAGCCAACAGTTTTGCCTACGTTGACCATAGTGTTTCCATCACTTGACACACAGCCTAACACAAAACAGGTGTTCAATAAACACTGGCTGAATGAACAACTGAATAAATGGAGTTGCCTAAGAATGATGTACTTCACTAACTCAACAAGCCTTCAGAAGTTTGGAGCCTTTGACCTATGATCCCATCCTCATTCCTCCAGACTTCACCTTAAATACTTCCAGTTTCTTTTTGGCCTGGAGTGGAGAAAAGACCACCCCAAGACTAGTTCAAGTTCCCCTCTGCCTCTAATGTTGTTGTGTGACTCTGGACAAGTCTTAACCCTTCTCCAAGCCTCAGTCGGGAGTGGCCTATTTCCTCTATAAACCATGTAACACCACCTATCCCATGGGCTGGTGGAAGGATTAGAAGAGAGTGGGCATAAAGGCGCCCAGTAAAGTCCTGCGGTTGTTATCACCACTTTCTCCAAGACCTGAAATATAGCAGAGACTTAGACATGTTTGAGAAATGAAGAAGGGAGGTGAAGGAAAGAGGCCTTGGGCCTGGCTTTGCCTCTCCCGCAAGTCCCAAAGTTCTGAACAAGTAACACTTACCTCTCCATTCCAGGCACTCTCTCTTGCCATTATTTGCTCAGTGTCTACCGTGTGCCAAGCTCTGTGCCAGGCACGTCACCCACCTTAGTTCATTTAACCCTCCCATCAGCCCTATGAGATGATCTGTCACTATCAGTCTTACCTTACAGAGCAGAAAGAAGAGAGGCTGAGTGCCTTGCCCAGGATAATGTATAAGTGGAAAAAGTTGAAATTTAAACCCAGGTCTATCTTAATCATTACACTAAACTAATTCCCTCTTTAAATCTGGGGTCCCAACTGAACGGGTCAGCCCCGGAGCACAATCAGGGACATCACGTCCCCTAGCTGCGGTCACCTCTGCTGTTGTTGCTGTATGCTGTGGAGTGGATTGCAACTCACAGCAACTCTATAGGACTCTATCTAGAGTATCGCCCCCACAGAGTTTCTGTCCAAGGAGTTGGCTGGAACCACCACACACCTTTCCACCACCACTGAGTCACTTCAACCAAAAGAAACCAAACATACTGTCATCCAGTCAGATCCAACTCATAGCGACCCCTCCAACCCCTCCTTGGGTTTCTAAGGCAGTATCACTACAGAAGTAGATTCCTGCCTTCCGAGGAGTGGCTGATGGGTTTGAACCGCCAGCCTTCTGGCTAGCAGTCGAGTGCCTTGGGCACCACACCACCAGAGCTCCTCTGAGTCACTTAGGTGTCAGTTATATATTCTGGCCACTTACATTCCAGTTGCCCTCCGGTGAATTTCGACTCATAGCGACTGGTCACCAGACCTCCATTAATGGGGCCCCGAGGAGGGTCGTGGAGGAAGAGCTGCCGTGTGCCCACAGGGGCCCCTACTCACCGGTCTGGATGAGGCCGGAGCTACTGTCCCCGATGCCGAAGAACTGCTCGATGTCGGGAAGGACCCCTGGGGAGGTGAAGGTGCAGGATGGGCCTCGTGAGGCAGGGCTGCCCCGGGGACCCCGCTCCCCTCCCTCGCCTGTCTTCCTCTCTGAAATCAGTACCAGCCACGGTGAAGCGATCCATGTAGTTGAGGAGGTTAATGTAGCACAGCACGGCCACTATGAGAGCCGAACGGCCCGCAGACAGGCCCGTGATGCGCTGCAAGCCCTCCCGGTCCGGGATCTCGGGCTCCCCGGACTTCGGGGTCCCAGTGGACCCCGGCAACCCCGGGGTGCCGGGCACTGGCCCGTCATCCGTGTCATCTGCCTGGCTGAGGAAGGGCGTGGTGTCGGACCCGGCCATGGTCCCTGGGGGTCCCAGCGATGATCCCTCCTGCGAGGGGAGAATGGGTCAAAAAGGGTGGAGGGAACCCCAGGGGAGGGCGCCCAGAGGAACGAGCGTTTGCCCGGGAACACATAGCACAGCTGCGAGGGGCCCCGGGCCCCGGCATGCCTCCCTGTCCCTGAACACACACCGCGCGGGAAGATGCAAGGAATTCAGATGATGCCGGGGGCAGGAGCGGGTTGAGCAGAGCCCTGGCTCCCCGCCCAGACCCCTCACCCCGGGAAGGAGCACTACACCCGCCGCTCAACCGCCGCGCTGCACCACGGCCGCCGCCATGTTGCGGGAAAACAGGTCAGGTGACGCCGGCGCCCGGGTTGGGGAGCCCACCGCGTCAAACCCTCGGCACGTGACCGTCTGTCCGACTACGGAAGCCGACACAGGACCTCATTCACGAAGCTTCCGGTCTCCGTGGACTCCCGCATCACGTGACTACGGGCTGGTCGCCAAGGTAACCAAAGATCGGAATCCTAGACTTCTGTCCCGCAGCTCTTCAGTCGGCTGGCAGCCAGGGCAACAAGGTAGTTCTGTTCCTGCTCAGATGTCCAACCCAGACAGTGAGAACCCTTCTGAATCTGCTTCCTTACATAAACCACCCCGCTTGGCCGACTTCTTCAAGATCAAACCAGATGATGGAATCTTAAAAGGATTGGGGGAATAGGAAACACTTATAGAAATGACAATGAACAGTTCTTGCTCCAGGTTAATTTTTCTCTCTTCCTTAGGCCTGGTTTGCGGTCTTATACATTCTCAGTAAATATTTGTTGACTTAATGAAAAATCCCCTGCCCTGGCCTCTCACTCTCCCCTTCTCCACCGTTTGGATTCCCCATCCTAGGTAACCCTCACCCGATCCTTCACTGTAGATACTCAATCAAACCAAAAAACCGAACTCACTGCCATAGAGTGGTTCTGACTCATAGCGACCCCTCCTTGGGTCTCCGAGGCGATATCACTATGGAAGTAGATTGCCCAACCTTACTTCCGAGGAGTGACTAGTGGGTTTGAACCGCCAGCCTTCTGGTTAGCAAATGCCTTAGGCACTATGCCACCAGAGCTCTTGCAGATACTCCAATAGATACTGAAGGGCTCGCGTCCTAACGAACCCCACCTCCCGCTCGGGATTTTTCATCACAGCCCACCGCAACTGAAGCCCTTGCGCCCTCTAGTGGTCTCATTCAGGGCAAGCAGGGGCTCTAAGGCTCAGGAGACTCCTAGCTGCAAGTCTGGTTTCAAAGAAACCCCATGCAGTGGTGGTACTAGCTTTGGGTGGTTCTTCAGTGGCCACCCATCATCTCCAAACTATATCTAATTAACATGCACTCGGGCCGACTCGATGGCACATAACAACAACAAGTAAAAATAGTATGTTGTTAGGTGGGGTGGACTTGACTCTGACTCATAGCGACTCTATGTAGAACAGAACAAAACACTGGCCAGTCCTGTGCCAGCCACACAATCTTTGCTTTGCTTGAGCCCATCGTTGCAGCCATTGTGTCAATCCATCTCCTTGAGGGTCTTCCCTTTTTTACTGACCCTCTACCTTACCAAGCAGGATATCCTTCTCCAGGGCCTGGCCCCTTCTGATGTGACCAAAGTAGGTGAGAGAAAGTCTGGCAACTCTTGCTTCCAAGGAGCATTCCAGCTGCACTTCTTCCAGGACAGATTTGTTCATTCTTTTAGCAGTCCATGGTATTTTCAGCATTCTTCGCCAACACCACTACTCAGAAGCATCAACTCTTCTTTGGTCTTCCTTATTCACTGTCCAGCTAGTTCTATGCAAATGTTGCTTTAAGACCCCTTTGCCAAACAGAACTCTAAGCTCCTTTACTGAAATTCTGGAGTTCCATGGGGAGTGTGGGGGCCCCCAAGAAACCTTATTAGAAACTATTTTGAAACCTGAGTATGTCTCAGTGGCATTGTCTCACAAAGTATCTCCTGTTTCAGAGCTACTAAGCCTGGTCTCCCCTAAGAGACTGAGGTAGAGAGGAACAGCAGACTGTCGTCACCTGATTTCTTCAAGAAAATACTATTGAGCATCTATCACGTGCCTGGTGATGTGCCAGATGCCAGGCAAAAAGAGACTTAAGTGTTCACCCTCATGGAGCATATAATCTCATGGAGAAAATACACCACCAAGTACATGCACATGTAAAACCACTTGACATGTAAAGGGAAGCCACAGACCAGAAGAAATACCTGCACAATATGTATCTGACAAAGAACTTACAACCAAATCCATAAATAACTTACAACTCAGTTAAGACAAAAACACAGTTTTTAAAATGGGCAAAATATTTAAACAGTATACATTCGCACCTGCTGCAACAGGCAGTAAACATGCTTGTCCAAGCACAGGCCTTGTTTCCTCGTTGTTACCTGGAGGGCACTGACACACTGAACGGAATCATGGGCATGTAACTGGTGGAGAAAAGGTCTTGGTGGGCAAAGCGAACAAAGTCAAGCAGCTACTAAGCACCGTGGCTGGTCCCCCGAGGAAGGGCGAAGTCCCAAGGGAGGCACTCCTGCTGCTGCTCCAAGAACCCCTGCAGAGCCAGCCCCGAAGCCCAGCCCAGCCACCCCTGCAGATGTTCAGCCTCCTGTCAGCCAGGGGTGTAGCACTGTTCTAGGAATTGGGCATATAGCAGTGACCAAGCGTCAGGAAGACCCTACCCTCACAAAGCTTCTGTTTTGTGTGAAGGCCTTTGCCCGATGCTTGGTACATAATACTGAACGTATGATAGTTGCTAGTGTTATTCTTTGTCATCACAGAGGCTTTAATAAACTCAGGTCAAGTAAGCCCATATACATACATACATATTTATATACATACATATATATATATTTAAACAGCATTTACTAAAGATACATGAATGGCCAACAACTTTATGACATCATTGGTCATTATGGAAAATAAAGTAAGATACCATTATCCACACAGCAAAGGAGCCCTAGTGGCAAAGTGGTTAAAGAGACTGACTGCTAACCAGAAGGTCAGAAGTTCAAACCCACCAGCCACTCCATGGGACAAAGATGTGACAGTCTGCTTCTGTAAAGATTATAGCCTTGGAAACTCTGTGGGGCAGTTCTATTCTGTCCTATGTTCTTGTGAGATGCTGTCAAGTTGGTTCTAACCAATAGCGACCACCTACGAACAACAGAACAAAACAGTGCCCAGTCCTGTGCCATTCTCACTCTTTGCTAGACCTGAGCCCATCATTGCAGCCACTGTGTCAATCCATCACATTGAGGGTCTTCTCCTTTTCTCACTGACCCTCCACTTTACCAAGCAGGATAGCCTTCTCCAGGGACTGGCCCATTCGGAACCAGTTTGATGTACTTCATCAAAGTACATGAAACGAAGTCTCACTTGTAAGGAACATTCTGACTGTACTTTTTTCAAGACAGCCTTGTTCGTTCTTCTGGCAGTCCATGGTATTTTCAACATTCATCAACACTATAATTCAAATCCATCATTTTTTCTGTGGTCTTCCTTTTTCATTGTCCAGCTTTCACAAGCATGAGGCTACTGAAAAGAACTTGGCTTGGCTCAGGTGAAATTAGTTTTCTCTGTCCTACAGGGTCAAAATTAACTCAGTAGCAGAAAACACAACCCAGTGGCTCAACAGAAGACCTGGTGACTTGCTCTCATAAAGATTCTAACCCATTGCTGTCAATTTTAATTCCAACCCATAATGACCCTGTATAGCCTAGGAAACCCATAGTCAGTTCTGCTGTCACACTGGGTATCTCTGAGTCAGAATTTGACTCTATAGCACCTAATAACAACAACACTAGAAAAGCTAGAAAATCACAATACCAAGTGCTTGAGATCATGTGAGGCAAATGATACTTACAATGCTGGCAGGAATGCAAATGATACAGCTACTTTGGAAAACATTTGGCAATTTCTTGAAAAATTAAACACACACTTCCTGTTAGACCCAGCAGTTCTACCCTGAGGTTAGGTATCTACCCATGAAAATTAAAAACAAGTCTAAACACCTATATGCAAATGTTGATAGAAGCAGTATTCATAATAATGCTTTTACCTATTCATAATAGCTAAAAAATGAGGAAAAAAAAAAAAAAACACGTGTCTATCACCAGGTGAATGACATATCCACACACTGTAATACTACTCAGCAATGAAAAGGAATTAATTACTGACACACAAATGGACAAATCTCAGAAAGATCATGCTAAGAAGACTGACATGAAAGACCAAATACTGTATTATTCCATTTATATGAAAATCTGGAAAAGGCAAAACTAAAGTGACTGAAAGATTAGTGATGCCCTGGGATTAGGGGGATGAGACTGACTGCAGACAGACACCGTGAAACTACTGAGGCTGACAGAAAGGACCTAAAACTTACAATCAGGACAGCCTCTTTTCAGCCATGCCACAGGCAGGCTACGCTCTGGTCCTTGGATCCCCAAGGGGCCTCTCGGTCTGGCTGGCCTCTGACCTGCTTGGGGGAGTATTACAAAGCTCTTTTAGCTCTGCCCGATAATTCCATGGAGCCACCTCATTGCATCAGTAAGCCTCGGTCCAAAGGCACTCAGCTCTAGCTCCATGGATCTGGCAAACCTAGCTCCATCGACAAGTGCCCGGAAGCACCCCACTCCACCAGCAAACCTCCTGCCCAGAGGCATGCAGCTTTCTCACTCCATGGGCCAGGAAGCCCACTGGGTCTTGCGCTGGTCTCTTGGTCCTGCTGCCTCTGCTGCTGCGATCTCTGCCACTGCTTCTTGCCATCTCGCCATCTCCAGGGTCACAGCTCTCCATCTCCTGGATCTAGGAGGTTCCCAGCGCAGGGACCAAGGTCCAAAGGACACACTCCTCTCTCATCTTATTCTTGGTGATAGTCAGGTCTCCTCTACTCGTCTCTCCTTTTATCTTTTGTAAAATAAAAGGTGTGACTGAAGGGTGTGACTTCAATAAGATGGTGACACAAGATACATCCCATCCTAACCCTGCCTCATTAACATAACAGACAACGCACTCCAAATTGGAGCCATAACCACAGGCATGGAGGCTAGGATTTACAACACATCACAAAACGAAGGACTAAGGCTAGAGGGACCATATTAAGTAATTCACTGCACTGCAATAGTATTTGAGAGAAACTGGGTCAGTGCGTAATCTAGGAGTAACTCTACTCCTAGACATAAACCCCGGAAGAAAGCAAAGAGTGATCTCAAAGAGGAACAGTGTAGTACTGCTTGCGAAAGCAACCTTCTAGGGTTAGAACTGGGTGTGGTTACAAGTGGCAGAAATCTCAAGGTGACAATAATTTAAATTAGACAGAAGTTCCCCTTTTACATAAAAACCCGGAGGTCAGCAGTGTGGGGCTGACGAGATGCTCCATGGAGACCAAGATGCAGGTTCTTCTCTCGCGTCCCTCTCTGTGTGGCTTCCATTCTCCAGATTGTCTCATGGTCAGTGTGTTGCGCTCCTTCCAGCCAGTAGCTGGAAGAAAGCAAAGGAGGTAGGTACACACTGTCCCAGTTACATCTTATGAGCCTCGATTCACACCTGGTTACATCCAGCAGCAGCAAGGGCCTCTAGGAAGTGCTACCTGTATTCTGCGTGGCTCTGCTCGTAACTAGAAACATGGGATGGAGGAAGAATAAATATGAGGGGACAACTAATGGTCTCTGTCACAGGGGCTCATATGGGGATCATATGAGGGCCACAAAGGAAGAAATCCTCAACGATAAACAAGTTGAATGTATTGCCATTTATTTAGCTGGGATTAAGTAACTTTAATGTGTTCCAATATATTAATAGTCATAAAGACAATCTGAAAACTAGAGAGCTACACCGTATCATGGATTATTCAAACATTATAAAGGTTTACATTCCCACATTATAAATTCAACAGACTTGTCACATTCCAAAAAACAAAAATTTTTAAGAAGTTGATATCCTTTTGCTAAAATTACACTATGTTATCAGTGGAGAATCAATGGCTCTTTTAGTAGACAGTACTAAGAAATCTGGCTCGTTATACAGTGGGAATAAACGTGGATCTTCGTTATACAGTGGGAATAAACGTGGATCTCGTTATACAGTGGGAATAAACGTTGATCTCATTATACGTGGGGAATAAATGTGGATCTCATCCACAAAGGTGCAAATGGTTTAAAGGCAGGATTGATATTCAAATACAGAACAACCAACACAGCCCAACATCAGCCAGTCACAGCATGTATCTTATCACTCAGAACAGATACCACCAATGCCCCAGATTAGCTTGTCAGCAGGACTGCAGCCCCATTTAGTGGCCTAATATTAGAAAATGGAAAATATCTTAGCTACTTATAAATAAGAAACCAAAAGGCAACAGATTATATGACAAAACAGCAAATTCATACACTTTAAGGACTGCTGTTCTGTGAAGGGCACCTGCAGATGTACAAAGACAAGCGCATTGTGTGCGATGCCCAAAACTGCCCAGGAACAGACAAGCAACACTCGTGAAAACCCACGGAGAAGCAAGCAATTCACAGAAAGGGGCACTGAGAGGCTGACAGTCTGTGGAGAGGCTCCCCAGCCTGACTGGTGATCAGGTGAGTATACATCAAACGTGGTGCCACTTTACACCCATCCAGCCGGCAGAAATTAGAAAGCTGGACAGTGACTGGTGAGGGTGAGGAGAGACTAGAAGCTTCTGTGGGATGGTCAATTACTTTTCTAAAGAAAAGTCTGAAAGAACCACAAAGAAATTAATCTGTGTGACCTATAATCCTAGCCTGGGTATCTATGCCAGAGAACTGTTTGCGCAAGCCTGGGAGGGGAAACAAAAGGATGTTTATGGTGGCCTTGTGTGTGGTGCGAGGAGTTAGAGACATCCATGTGTCCCCCACTGAAGGGACTGGATAAATAAAATGCACCTGGCGCCCAGTGTGAACACTAGGCAATAAAGCAGAGTAAGCAAAAGGGTGAGATCCTAACACATGCAGAATGAAGAAAGAAAAAGCACAAGCTAACACCATGGATAAAGCATTCACACAGAACACTGTAATTTACAAGGATACATTCATCTCTAAAGACATGTAACAAACATGTTAGTGTTTGTGGGAGATGATAGTGTGGAGAAGGGGGAAAAGCCATAAAACCAGAAACTGTAATCCTGAGACCTATAGCTGAATGTACCCAGTTATGCCTTCAACAGTGTGTGAGCACCAGGAAGGGTAGCTGGCAAGGTTCCTCGGGGTAAGGAAGACACCAAGGCTGAGAATCCACTATCTCCATCCCACAGAAGAGCCACCCAATCGTGTGCCTACGCTTAAGCTTAGTGCATGTGTGAGCCTGGCCACGTGCTTTCCTACGAGCCGAGGAAGCACACCAGTGTGTGTGTGCCTTAAGCAAAGCCACCCCAACTCCCCGAATGAAAGCAAGGCCACTGTTGGTCCCAGACATGGCATGAACCCTAGGTGGCAAATCCCAAACCCCAGCCTTATTTAAATATAAGCAAATTTTCAGAGAAGTCTGAGACTTTTTGATGAAGGAAAGGGTGATGATGGAGGTAAAAGGGTGGTGATAGAGGGACGCCTCCACCATGTCCCAGCGGACTGGCAAACTCAGCACATGTGGATGGAACCACAGTCCATCAGAGCAGGGACAACTACCACACAACCAACCAGGCAGTTAATGGCTTGAAACCAAGGTCAACAGGAGAGAAAACCAAAGGTCGCTCTCTGACTCTGCTTTCCCTTAAAGAGACAATACCTCAGCATCAGCGAGTCCCATGGGCTTTGGTAAATACAGTTCTAGAAAAAGGGGCAGATGTTCTCCCTCAGTCCAGGCTGGACCCCAAGACAAGGAGAAGGGTTTCAGCCCCAGACTTCAATGAGGTCCCCGGATTCCATGCCTAGATCAGCCGGCAGCTCTTTGCCTGAAAGCTTCGTTCCATCAAAGAAGAAAGAAAGATTACATCCCGAGAGTCCCATAGCCTCCTCGTAATGGGCCATGAGGGTCTTGAGGGGCGAATCCTGGATGGAGAGAAAACATGGATGTAAGAACTTGAAAGGGAGGCTGGGGAGAACTTGTAGGGATGAGCAGAGAACTTGGGACAGGGAGAATGAGGGGCTGGTTCAGTGAAGTTAGAGCCCCAAGCAGGGGAAGGGGAGTGGACCAAGAAGCTAGCAGAGTCAAGTTCCCAAACTGGCTGTGTTACTGTGTCTGGGGAACTGGGATAAGTCCCTCCTCCCTCTGGACCCAGGATTCCTCACATCGAGTGGGAACACAGCACCCAAGGCTTCAGAGTACAGGTTCTGGGTTAGGAAGTTCTCCAAGCCTCAGTCTTCTCATCCACAAAACAGAAGTAGTAATGAAGGGAGCCCAAGCTATGGAGTGAGAATGACCCGAGCTGGAAGCCAGGCTCTCCCACTTACCAACTGTGTGACTTTAGGCAAGTTATTCCACCTCTTTGAACCTCAGCTTCCTCACTTGTTAGATGAGGGAAACAAGAGTGCCTTCCCACATATGACTGTGGTGAAAATGTGACCATATCCTAAACGTGAAATGATTATCCTAAGCACAGGGACTGCCATTTCAAAGTATGACTGTCTTTATTGTTAGTTGGCTGGCTTTTACTGGTTACTGCCCAAGGTTCCTTTCCATTTTCACTGTTTTTTTTTTTTTTTTAAATTGGAGACAGGAGTTTGGAGAGTGATGGGATACAGAGCCTAGATTGGAGGAATCAGCAGAAGGGAGTGGGAAGTTGACCAGCAGGCTCTCTCCACTACCTGGAGTGGGTGAGACCCAAGAGCATGAATGGCAGGGCCTTGAGCCAGTCAGGATTAAGAGGAATCTCTGCTCTATTAAGTGACAAGAGAGACAGCAGAGGAAAGGGTGAGGGGCACGGAGAGCCACCTCCCACTCACCGGCGACAGCGAGACTTCCAGCATCTGGTGTTTCTCCTTCCCCTGCACTCGGAGCCGGAGCTGCTGGGATGTCTCTGTGGCCTCCGGAGAAGTTGCTAACACCACACAGTCTGCAGGAGGCAGGGTCAGGAAGTCAGGCTTGAATGAGTGGTTGGAAGCAGGAGGTCCTCTGCACAGTCCCGGCAGCCCTTCCCATGGCCAAAGCCTCCCCACCCTTCTCTCACCAATGATGTCAGCCACTCCAAGTTTCAGGGTCCTTGGGGTGGCAGTAGGGGACAGCTCTGTCTCTCCAAAAAGCAAAAGGATCCTGCTTGGGGATACCCCAAGGTGAGCAGCCATGTGATCCACCACACTCTGCAGGGGCTCTGACTAGGGAGGAAGATAAAAGAAGCAAAGGGGAGCTTCCTGCCTTCGTATCTGCCCAACCCTCACCCCAACACCACCACCCCAAACTCAAGTTTCCAGCCTTAGCCATTCACTGAGCTCCTGAGCTGTGAGTTTCATCACATTTACCTGGCAAAGTACAGAATAAAATCCTGTAAACGGGAATCTAGGCAAGTAAAACAAAGAAATGAAGCCATGGGTTAGGAGACAAAAGGGAGTGGTAGGAACTGCAGCAAATTGGGACTCACATGCCCCATGTGAGCAGGCCAGCTGTTACTCAGCTCCAGCTGATTGGTGCCACATGGGAACAGGGACCAACATGACTAGATCCTCCTACTTTTAAGAGAAGCCAGAAAAACAGACACTCATCAAATTGCCCCTCGCAAGGGTTGACAACAAACTGGGATGTTTTAAAAGCACTGTACGGAGCCAAGACAGATACACTGTTGATAAGGCCACGGGCTGCCACACCAGTACAAACTAGTGCTTTAGTAAATGGTCATTTCCATTATCTTTCATGCTACCGAAATAAGCCATCCCTGCAAAGCTCCAAGCCTTCCCCAGGAAGCTGGGGAGCTAAAGATGCCCAAGTGACCCCTGCTGTGTCCAATGCAGTAAGAGCAACACAAAAGGGGTGCACAGGCCCTGGAAGAAGCAGGAGGGAGGGGCTCACCCTGAAGAGGTCGCCAAGAAAAGCCTCTGTGTGAACTAAGGTTTCACCTGGTTTCTGAAAACAGCTCGAGCAATTCAGGTGCTCTGTGTCTTTCTAAAATAGCCAGGTAAGTAGGGCTACACAGACCCCACACCTGGGGAACTTCATGAAATCATGCATGTTCTCTGATTGGATCAATCAAAGCTATGCATTAAAGCTCCACTTATGCATATTTACTGAGGCCCCAAGGACTAGGGAACCCAGGACCTTGGAACACTCTTTTGGGAGAATATTCATGTAAGGGAGAGAGAATGGCATGTCCCTGGGGACAGTGGAAGGCTTGTGATGCCAGGACCACTCCCAGGCCTTGCCTGATGCCTTTGTATGCGTGTATCCTTTCTGATCATAATAAATGGGTAAGTGTAAGTATAGGTGATAATCTCAAGTTTTGTGATTTATTTTAGAGAATTAAGGAACCCAGAGGCAAGAAGCCAGCAGGGGCTGGTAGCACAGGGACAGCTCTGGGTAGCAGGGTGATAAAGGCTGCACAGGCAGACAGTCGATGAGGAAGGAGAGAGTCCTTATAGCTTGTGACCTCAAGCCTCAAGTTGCAATACTGAAGCATTCTATGGGCAAAATACTGAACAATGCATGAAGCATCAGAAGATAGAAGAAACACAGAGTCACTGTACCAAAAATAACTGGTTGACATTCAACCATTTTCAGGAGGTAATATATGATCAAGAATCAATGATACTGAAGGCAGAAGTCCAAGCTATACTGAACAAATTGGGGAAAAACAAGGCTTCAGGAATTGATGGAACACCCACTGAGACATTTCAACAAAAGGACATAATGGTAGAGACACTCACTCACTTATGGTAAGAAATTCGGAAGACAACTACCTACCAGGTCAGCAACTGGAAGAGATTGATTGTATCTGTGCCCATTCCAAAGAAAGGTGATCCAACAAAATGCGGGAATTATTGAACAAGTTCATTGATATCGCATACAAGTAAAATTCTGCTGAACATAATTCAAAAATGGTTGCAGTAGTATATTGACAGGGAACTGCCAGAAATTCAAGCTGGATTCAGAAGAGGGTGTGAAACAAGGGATATCATTACTAATGATCTTGGCTGAAAACAAAGAATACCAGAAAGATGTTTATCTGTTTTATTGACTATGCAAAGGCATTCGACCGTGTAGATCATAACAAATAATGGATTGCATTGAGAAGTATCGGAATTCCAGAACACTTAATCATGCTCATAAGCAACCTGTATATAGACCAAGACGCTGTCATTCAAACATAACAAGGGAATACTGCATGGTTTAAAATCAGGAAGGGAGTGTGCCAGGGTTGTATACTTTCACCGTAATTACTCAATCTGTATGCTGAACAAATAATCTGAGAATCTGGACTATATGAAGAATGCACCGTCAGAACTGGAGGAAGACTCATGAACAATGTACAATACAAATATGACACAACCTTGCTTCCTGAAAGTGAAGAGGACTTCAAGCACTTACCAGTGAAGATCAAAGACTACTACAGCCTTCAGTATGGATTATATCTCAACATAAAGAAAACACAAATCCTCACAACTGGACCAATACGCAATATCATCGTAAATGGACAAAAGATTAAAGTTGTCAAGGATTTCATTTTACTTGAACCCACAATCAATGCCTATGGAAGAAGCAGTCAAGAAATCAAATGACATATTGTGGTAGCCAAATCTGCTGCAAAAGGCCTCTTGAAAGTGTTAAAGAGCAAAGGTGTCACTTTGAAGACTACAGTGTGTCTGACCCAAGCTATGGCATTTTCAATAGCCTCATATGCATGTCAGAGATGGACAACGAATAAGGAAGACTGCAGAAAAACTGATGCATTGGAATTGTGGTGCTGGTGATGAATACTGAATGTACCGTGGACTGCTAGAATGAACAAATCTGTCTTGAAAAAGTACAGCCAGATGCTCCTTAGAAGCGAGAATGGCCAGACTTCGTCTCTGGTGCTTTGGTCGTGTTGTCAGAAAGGACCAGTTCCTGGAGAAGGATATCATTTGTGGTAAAGAGGAGGGGTGTCATAGAAAACGGGGAAGACGCTCACTGAGACGGACTGACAGAGTGGCTGCAATGACAAACTCAAGCACGGTGGCCGCTGTGAGGACGGCTAGAGACGGGGCAGTGTTTCACTCTGTTGTGCACAGGGTCATTGTGAGTTGGAAACAATTTGACAGCATCTAACAACAACAGCTTGTGACCTAGTCCCAGGGGACTAGAGAGAGAGAAATGGGGGCCAGGTGGTCTCAAGTGCAGGGAGTTGTGTAAATTCCTGAGCCTACCACTATCCCTGGTAATCTGGATATTTTGACTTAGCTCAGGGTGGTTGAAGATGAAATCTGACCTGACCCTGGGTGGTTAGGGTCAGAGAGAGGAAGTGCCAGGTGAAGTGGCTGATGATGAGGTATGGAGATGTGGAAAGGTGAGGCCTAGATCCACTTCCAGCTGGAACTGGATTACAGTCATGCTCATCCTTGCCATGCAGTTACTGATAAAGGTGGGGTTTGCCCACCTTGCCCCTTTTGTAGCCCCACTTTGTAATGTTGTCATCACAGCCTCTGAGAAGAGAGGATGCTTAAAGAAAGAAAAATGCTTGAAG